GGAGCCCTGGGCTGGAACATAGAGTTTCTTCCAAACTCAGTATCACCATGCCTCTCGGTTAACGTGAAGGGAAAGTAACGGCAGTGAGTTGAGGCAGGCCTCTAACGGTCCAGACCTGTCAGGAATGAAGGTTCGGGTCCCCCCACCAGGCAGAGAACCATGACTGATGAGGCCTTGGAGGACAGCAGAGGAAATATGGCGTCTTAGTTACTTTTCTTGCTGCAGAGACAAAACACCCGACACCCAAAGGAGGAAAGGTTTATTTAGCTCACAGTTTGTAGCCATTTCAGTCCATAATCGGCTGGCCACAAGGCAGGGATGCCAAACAGGCATCACAGAAGTGAATCAACGGAACACACAGAAGGTAGCAAAAGCAACAAACCGCCTCAACAGCCCCTTTCCGCTCCTTTTATCCCAGCCAGAGTACCCGGATCAGGGCGGGCCAAACCAGTCCCTCAGTTGTGGTGGTTTAGTAATCACACGCTCTTCAGCCCAGCGCCACAACCCCTAGATCCAGCCACTCTGGACAAGAAAGCCCACCCCATCTGCATGAGGCTTTGGAGGGACACCTAGACAGATGGACACTGAGCCATAAGAGACAGGATTTCCTAGTCAAGCCTGCCCTCTGCTGTTAGCTCAGCTGCTGTCTTTGTAAAAGGTAGTCAAGAGGTGGTGTGAAAGTTGGTTTTTCCTGTTTCTCATCTGTTTCTGGAGGATTCTTACATCCCTATTTTTTTTACCACCACCCCCAGTACTGGGGATTGAATCCAGTGCCTGAGCTACATCCCTAGCCGCCCCCACTTTTTTGGTTTTTTGAGACTATGTAGTTCAGACTGCTCTGGAACTCACTGTGTAGCCCAGGCTGGTCTCGAACTCACAGCGATCCTCCCGCCTCAGCCTCTTGAGTGCTGGGATTACAAGCGTGCGCCACCACGCCCAGCCCTAGCCCCTATTTAAATTTTTGAAAAAATGAAATTGAGATAGGGTCTTGTTAAATTGGTAAATTGCCTGGGCTGAGATCACAAGTTCAAATTTGTGACCCTGCCTCCCCCAAACGCTGGGGTCACAGGTGTGTACCACCACACCCACCCCTTCACTTGCTCTTCCTTTTTTCTTTGCAGTGCTGGGGATTGAACCCAGAGCCTCTGGCATGCTAGGCAAGCACTCCACCACTGAGCTACACCTCCTGTTCCTTTACTATGGTGTCTCCAAAGGGGATGGAACCAGGACCACATGAGCTGTTTTACACTGAGCCACATCCCCAGCCTCACTGTCTCTCTCTTTTTTTATATATTTTTATTTTTTTGGTACCAGGGATTGAACTCGGGTCTTTGTGCTTGCAAGGCAGGCGGCAGAACCACTGAGCTAAATCCCTGACACTCTCTCTTTTTTCTTTTTCTTTTTTGAAACAGGATCTCTCTGTGTAGTTCCCAGGCTGGCCTTGAACTCAGCAATTCCCCTACCTCAGCCTCCTGAGTGATGGGGTTACAGGCGTGCGCTACCTCATCTAGCGCTCATGGTGTCTCTTAAATCTCCTCTCCCTTGCTCTGCACCCCCAGGCTTGTAGCTGCAAGCAGCAGGAGTTGTTAGGATCTGGCTTATTTCTCAGTAACCTGAGATTAACAGCTACGTTTATTTCCTCTTGTTAAGTTTTTTTGGGAAAAGGTAAGTGGGAGATTTGAAACAAAGCAGCTATCACTGTCTTCCCAGCCTGGAACCATTAGTAAATTCCTTCCTTTCTTTCTTTTTCTCTTTCTTTCTTTCTTTCTTCCTTCCTTCCTTCCTTCCTTCCTTCCTTCCTTCCTTCCTTTTTCTTTCTTTCTTTCTTTCTTTCTTTCTTTCTTTCTTTCTTTCTTTCTTTCTTTCTTTCCTTCCTTCCTTCCTTCCTTCCTTCCTTCCTTCCTTCCTTCCTTCCTTCCTTCCTTCTTTCTGTCTTTCTTTCGAGGCAGGGTCTTGCTATGTAGTTCAGGCTGTCCTTGAACTCACTGTGTAGCCCAGGCTCAAACTTGCACTGATCCTTCTGCCTCAGTCCCCAGAGGGCTCAGATGACAGGTGTGCGCCACCACTCCCAGCTGAATCCATTTAAATTTAATAAAACCCTTTCAAATTGGTCTCAAAATGGTGTAACAACTGGCTCCCTCATTCCCAATGATAGGTGACATTCCTTGTTTCCTTACATCCTCACCTGCACTTAATATCAAGTGTGATCATTTTTGTCAATATTATGGGTGTTATGGATGAGAGAGTTAGAACAATAGAGATGTGTCACACTCTGTCCGTTTCAAGCCCTTTATTATAGCTGGCAGCTGAAGAGGGGCTAGTGCCCAGAAGTTTCCTTGGCAATGAGAAGCAGTTTGATTTATCCTTTTAAATCATGCTTTTGATAGAGAAAATTTGGGCGAGACCTGGCCTTATGTATGCTATTGGAATTCTCTGTCCATGGTGAGGGTTTTTTTTTTTTTTTTGTACCAGGAATAGAACTCTGGAGCTTGCACTTGAGAGGCAGGCAGCGGAACCACTGAGCTAAATCCCCAGCCCCATGGTGAGGGTATTTGTCTGCATTTATTCAGGTCTTCAGCTTATAGTTTTATAGTTTTCTTTGTCACAATCCTGCCCATTTCTCATTGGGTTAATCATCATACTAGGTTCTTTAAAAGCGTAAAGTCGGCCAGGGATGTTGCTCAACGACACAGTACGTGCCTGGCAAGCTTGAGGCCAAGTTTGATTTCTGGTACCAAAAAAAAGAAAAGCATATAAAAATGTAGTCTAATTCCTCTCTGCACTTGCCCCGCCTTTCCTCAGAGCCTCCTCTGGGCCCTTCAGCTCACACAATTCCTGACTGCAGCTTGCTCACATTTTTCTGTTGTTCCTGGGTACGGTGGGGTACTGCAGGTTTCCAGTCCTGCTTGGGGAGGAAGTATGTTGACTTTTGGGGAGATTTGTTACTAACAGAGAAAAGGGGATGAGGGGAGATGGAGCAGAGGAATGTACCTGCTCTGTTGCTGGGAAGGGGCGCCTGGAGGGCAGGTATGTGCAGGCCCAGGCTGGGGATCTGGCAGGAAAAACAACTATGTCTCCCTTCTTGGGAAAGGGGTAGGCAGCAGCAAACACCTTCATCTTGTGTGTGTCTGCGAGCACCTGTATTTAAAACCTTTTTTCCCCCTGGTACTGAGAATGGAACTCAGGACCTTGTGCTTGCCAGGCAGGTGCGGTGCCACTGAGTTAAATCCCTGGCCCTCCACCATCATTTATTAAAGAGGCCATCTTTCTTCCAGTGAAGGTGTTTCATCCTTTTGTCAAAGATAAGACGGCCGAGTGTGTCTGGAGTTGTTTCTGCATCTTCTAGTGTCTTCTATTGATTTTTGGGTCTGTTTTTATGCTGGTACCATGCTGTTTGTATCATGGTGGCTTGGTAGTATAACTCAAGTCAGGGATTGTAATACTCCCTAATTTGCTAAAAGGGAAAATCTGGACACAGACATATAGGCTGAGGCCACAAGAAGGTGGAGGCAGTGGTGGGATGCAGAGGGGCACCAAGGCCCCAGAAGCTGGGAGAGAGACACGGAGTAGACCCCCCCTCACAGCCCTCAGAAGGAACCAACCCTGCCAACACCATCTTGGACTATTAGCCTCCGGCACCACAGGAGGTGTGTTGTGCAAGCCCTAGAAACTCATACTCTGCTAGGAGGTCCAGGTGTCCAGGTGGGTAAGCCCATCTATCTGGACCGGGACATGAGAAGGGCTTCCCGGAGGTGATGCCAAATTGGGCATTGAAGAATGGCTAGGAGTTTGTCAGAGAAGTCAGAAGAGAAAACTCTAGGCAGAGGGGAGAGCAGGTGCAAGTCCAGGAGAAAGCTCTTCGTTGAACCTCTATGAATGTCCCTACTCCTGCCACCTGTCCCAAGCCTCAGATCTGGAAACTCCTCTGCTCCAAGACAAGGAAATCTAACTTTTTCCTGGAGGCCCCTCGGGCCCAGGCAGTGCTAAGTCTCTTTCTCACCAGCAGGGGCGCTCACATAGCATCACCACAAAGGAGAGGCTGGGTGGGTGTAGGCAGGAACAGGAAGGCTTCAACAGTGTTGAAAACCTGTGCCCTGGGGGAAGCTCTGCGCTGGCTTGGGGCTCTCCTGTGGCCCCACCCACCCTGGAAGGACAGACACCCAGACTGGAGGCCCTGGTACAAGTACTTTATTTTAATTACAATAGTGCCACACCCAAACTACAGTAGCACGAAACTTAATACAAAAAATAGATTCCCAGCTCCAAACCCCTTGTCTGCGGACCCACAGAGCGGCCAGCTTAGAGAGGCTCCCAGACCTAAGTGGTGGGGCTTTGTGCAGTTGCCTCTGCATCCAGCAACCCCGGGGCCGCTGCCCCCCCCCTCCCGCACACCCTGAACAATGGGCACAATGGCACTGGCTTCTCCGTGGCAGTGCTGACACTTTCCGGACCGCCCCCTCCATGGGGAAGGCAGAAAGTGGAGGGAGAGGAGGTGCAGAGGGGACTGGGGCTGGGAAGGGCTCACTCCTGTGTGGCTGGTACTGGGCTCCAGTTCCTCCCGTTTCCTGTCTTGCTTCTCCCCTGAAGAGCTGTCAGGCCTTGAACTTTCTGATGGTGCCCGGGGCCTCGGATAAGCCTGCTTCCAACCCCCTGTCCTGGCTCTGAGGCTGACCCAAGGCTGGCAGGGCTGTCTGTGCCTCGTGGGCAAGAAGCCTAGCTTCCTAAGCTAGCAGCTCCTTGGGGCCCTGGCCGGGGCACTGAGAGTGGCCCACCTGTCCTGGGGCCAGCCTCCCCTCAGCATGTCTTGGGCCCACACTGAGCTCTACCAGCGGAGCCCAGGAATCTCCAGTTGGAGAAGCTGCAGCTTCAGGGAGGGGATGACATTCTTGGTCCCTGACACTGCTGGCTGCATGGGGTTGGGGGACCTTCTCCTTATAGCCTCTTCTGGCCAACAGCACCCCAAAGGAGAGAAGTGCGTCCAGCTCCAGGTACTGTCTTGATCTAACCCGGGGGGCTTCCATGGCTGGAGCTCACGGTGAGTTCAGGGTGGCTGACTGTTGACCTCCAGAGCTACTGCCCTGGGGGTGGGGAGGGGTGGCCCAGTGGGCACCAGGAAGGGGGGTTCCAGTCAGGACACTTGGGGGCTCCACTGAGGAGGCTAAGGGCTCCGGGACAGGGCTATCTCCTTGGTGGCACCTGGGGCTGCAGGCTCAATAATAAGGCACTAGTGACCCAGACCCAGACCCGGAGCCAGGCCAGGCTGGGTGGGGGTAGGGGTGCAGCTCAGAGGGAGGGTCTAGACCTTGCAGGAGACAAGAGCTGATGCCCCTTTTCTCTTTCCCCTGGAAAGAGGATGAGCAAGGCAGACCCCGCAGTGGCTGGGATGGGAGGATTGCTACAGAGAGGCAACAGGTCCCTGGGACAGAAATGGGGAGACCAACAGGAGGACAGGAAGTGGACATCTATGGACGGCAGTGCATCTGATGGGGAGGATCAGCCCGCCGGGGTCCTCAGACGCTCTCAGTCTGTGTTACAGGGCTCTGACCTGGCCTCATTCTGCCGCAGCCACTAATCCCCCACTGTAGCAGTGGGGATCAGACCTTCCTTGCTGGGGTTCCCGCAGGCTGTGTCCGAAGCAGGGTCCCAGCTGGCTCCCCCCCTGCCTGGCCCCCAGTCTCCTGTCTGTGCAGCTGAGGGCAGAAGCTGCATTCCATATCCAAGGGCTGAGGCGGCTCTATCTGGGTACCTGCTCAGCGGCCTGGCGGGTCCCTTCCTCTGCCCAGCCTCAAAGTGAGGGGTACATCAGTGGGGGACATGCTTTGTCCACAGGTTATTTAAAAAAAACAGAACATAATAAATATACCGATCCTTTCCTTAAAAAAAAGTGTTTTAAATGCATTTTCCCTGAAGATTTCCAGTGTATTCCATAATGTTTAAAAATAGTTTCCCTAAAAATATATCTTTAAAGCATACGACACAGTGGTATTTGTGGTATGTCTGGCGCTGGATGTGGGCGAGGGGCTGTGTCCCACCGCCCTTATCGATGTGGGGCGCAGGCCTGGCAGACACCAGCCTGACACCTGAAGTCGCTAAATTGGCGCACAAACGCCCAGGATGATAGGTCTTTGCGGGGATCAATCTTAGGTAATGCTGAGAGTGTCCATCACGGGCAGCAAGGTGACAGCTACAATCCCTCCATGTAGGAAAGGGGGCTGGGCAGTGCCCTGGAGGCCAGCAGGAGGGGCAGACTGGCAGCCCTGTCCCCAGGACTTGTCCTTGGCCCCTTCCCCTCCTCCGCCTTGGCTCCCTGAGCTTTGCCCCTTACCAGACCTCACACTTGTGATGCGGGTTCATGGGTGAGCCAGGTGGGCAGTGGAAGTGTTCTGAGAACTCCTTGGAATTGGAGAGAGAGCCGATGACCCGGAAGCGGGAGGGGCTGTGAGGGTCGGTGATGAGGCCCTCGTGGGAGCTCTCTGGCGTGCGGACCGAGCACCAGACCTGCGGGAGTGACAGGGAGAAGCTGGGGTCACTGCGAGGTCCTGAGGCCACCAGGTTGGCCCCATCATAACAGCAGCTGAGTGAGCCCCTCACCTGGTCCTGCCCGGTGGCTAGCATGTCCCCAGACCTATTCCCTAACGCAGGCAGGTGCTGCCGAGCTGTGTCCCCGCCCAGCCAGAGCGGGGTCTGTTTGACACATCTGCCTTGGATTTCATCTGTACAGGAGATTCTGCCTGAAAACCCTGGATTTCTTGAAATGAAAACCTTGTATTTCTGGGAAAAGAAACTCTGTCTACCGGCCTGGTAGCTGTGGGTGCCAAGAGAAGACCGTCAGCTGAATGCCAACTCAAGGCACAGCACGATGGATGCATCTTCAGTTTAAGAAATTTCTTGAATCCCAGAACCAGAATGGACCGTGGCAATCACCTACTGGACGCTTTTATCAGTGCTCTCGGCCTCTCCCTGAGCCTCTGAGAGCCAGAAGCCTGCCTGCCAGGGAATGTCCTGCGGTCAGCGTGGCAGGCAGAAACTGGCCACGGGCTCCAGAGCTCTTGGACCACATGAAGGCAGAACGTGCTTGAGGCCGGCATTGCTTCCTGAGGACTCACCTGTGCAAAGCCCAGGAAGAACAGCTGATTGTTGGTGAGGCCCAGCGTGGGCAGCGTCTGCTCTGCCCCGTTCTTCTTTACCCAGTTCTGGTACGCCTGGGGGAGGGAGCAGAGTCTGGGCTGCCGCTCAGCATGGTGGGCGGGTGGGGGGTGCACCCGAGCCGGGCAGGGCTGCCCAGGGGAGCCCTCTGCTTTCCCTGCTCATGTTCAGCCCCGTGGCCTAAAATACCCTCGGTGCTGGCGGCTCTCACATTTACACTTCTGGCTCTAGCCTCTTTCCCTGATTTACATATTCAGCTCCCAAGCTGGACAATGTGTCACACTTGATGTGGCACAAACAGAACACTGAGTACACACACACACACACACACACACACACACACACACACAGCTTTCCCATCATAGCATCAAGCTAAAAAAACCCCACAGTTCCTCTTCAATTCTTCTTTCTCAGGTAAAGCAGACATCCCAAATCTGACCCCTTTCCACCACTCCCCTTGCTCCCCTTTCCTGGTCTCTCGGACTCAGACCGATGCCCTCCCACACAGCAACCTAAGGGAGCCTTTTACAGGAGGCCCTGGCAGACTTCTGGGAGAGCTGTGGAGTAACTGCTTTCAGCTCCATGGGCTAATCCTGGCAGCATCCACTAAGCTTCGCTCTTGTTTTGTTTGCATTCCTGGGATTGAGCCCAGCATCTCTACGCTGAGCTATTTTCCCAGTCCTTTTATTTATTGACTTTTATTTTGAGACACGGTCTTGTTAATTGGCTAAACTACCTAGGCTGGTTCAAATTTGCAATCCTTCTGCCTCAGCCTCCCACAGTGTGGGGATTAAAGGCTTGCGCCACCACACTCGCTACAACTCTGTTCTTGTAGTGCATAAAGGAGCCACACACAGGTCATTTGTGAACAAACGAGCAGAGCTGAATCCCCCAAAACTTTATGAAAACAGGATGAGGACTGGACTTGGCCCATGGGTTTGCTCAAGGATAAATTAGATGATGTCATTCTTTTACTTAGGGACCCTGCAGGGGCTCTCCACTGTAAACAGAATGGAATCCAAGCCCTGTCCTCAGCAACAAGGCTGAAAAGCCCCAGTCCCAGCCCCCACACTCCTTCCTCTCTGCCCTCTGCCCTTCTTCCTGTTTGTGAATGAGCCAGACTGGCCTCTCCTCATGGCCTCTGCACCTGTTCTTTCTTTGCTGAGACTATGTCCTCAGCTGCGTCTGCCTCTTGTCAAATGTCATTCCCTTGGGAAGCCAGCTCTCCTCCCCGACCCGCTACTCTTCATCACTTTGTCCTGTTTTCTGTGGTTATCTGACACAGCATCTTGCGATGTAGGTCAGGTTGGCCTCAAACTTGTGTCAATCTTCCTGCCTCAGCCTCCCAACTGCTAGAATTATAGGCATGTAATATTATGCCCAGCTACTTTGTCCTGTTTTTTGTTTTTGCTTTTTTTTCCTGGAGACAGGGCCTCTTGATGTAGTTCAGGCTGGCCCCAAACTACGTGGTCCAGGCTGGCCTCGAACTCAAAGTAATCCTCCTGCCTCAGCCTCCTAAATGCTGGACTCACAGGCATGACCCATCATGCCTGACAGGTCTTTCTGCTCTGGCTGTCACAGGAGGAACCTTGGTGCTGCTCTGACAGATACTGCCCACTCATGGCCTTTGTTTCCTCTCCTTCCAGCTCAGCTGGCATCTTTGAGTGCCTCTGCTCCAGGCCTGTGTCTGTGTCATCTGGTTTGACATCACAGTGATCCAGGGGCACAAGTGTCAGGTGTGCACTGCCAGCAAACAGGTGCTCAGGAGGTGAACCCAGAACTGGCTTCACATCCAGTGTCCTGTTCCCTTCCAGGCCCCTGCTGCACTCCATGGTGGTGGCTTCCCGGCAGAGAGAAGAACCCGCAGGTGGCCCAGGCCAGCCCTTCCCCGCCTCAGCCAGGCAGGCTGAAAACCCGCTGAGCTCGGCACCAGCCACTTTCCCCGTCTGCTCTCTACAGGACCCCACCACACCTACTGCTCGATGGGGAAACTGAGGCACACAGTGCCGCTGCAGCTCTCCTGGGGTTTCTATGAAGCGCAGGGGGTTCACGCACCCGATAGGCTGCCTTGAGGCCGCCATTGTCGGCAATGTTCTCGCCGAGCGTGTGGCGGCCGTTCACCGGCTCCCCGTTCACGCTGTAGTTGCTGTACTGCTCCACCATGCACTCGGTCTGCTGCTTGAAGGCCTCCACTGAGGAGTTCTTCCACCAGGGCCGGAGGTTGCCGTCCTTGTCATACTCCCGTCCTACGTGGGACCGGGGGAGGCGTGTGGGACCCCTATTCCTCACTGGCCTCTCAGGGCCCAGTGAGAAGGGGCTCACGCAACCACCCCATCCCAGGACCATGTGGCAGGCGCAGCCTCCGCAGGGGATGAGGAAGCCCATGGGCTCTGTCTGAAGGGGACCCCGCAGAGCCCGTACCTTGGTCATCAAAAGCGTGTGTCAGCTCGTGGCCCACGACAACACCAATGCCACCAAAGTTCAAGGCCCTGGGGGTGGGGAGAGGCACAGAAGAGGCACAGCTGGGTGAGGTAACAGCTGGGCATGGCCATCGCCTTGCCCAAGTGCCACATGGTCATCCAACAGCCGAGCTGGGATTCGTACCCAGGACTGTGCAGATTTCATTTCTGGGACGGTGCCCGGATGCTCCCAAGTCCCCAGCTCTCACTGTGTAAAACACTGTCAAGAGCAATGTCTCCCCCACTGGGGCACCCGACCCCACCCTGCTCTGAGCCAGGAGACCCTGGGCCGGGGGGGGGCAGGAGCCGTTTCCTCTGAACCCTCTCTCAATGCCAGGCCACCTGGGCCACTGGGCACAGATGGCTCCGTGAGACTGGCTGTCTGAGTGGTGAACACGCACACAGGGTCTGGCTTGGGCCAAGGGCTGGGAAGGAACTGGGGCCACAGCACCAGAGATACCTACTTGGGCGAGGAGCGGGTGTAGAACGGCGCCTGCAGGATCCCGGCCGGAAACACGATCTCATTCTTGGTAGGGGAGTAGTAAGCGTTCACCATGGGGGGTGTCATACTCCATCTGCAGCAAGAGCGGGGCCAGATGTCAGGCCTGGCTAGGGTTGGGTGCTGTGGGGACGCCTGTATAAGGACCGTAAACATGTGAGTTCTGGGCCAGGGATTTAGCTCAGTGGTGCCGACTCCTGCCTCGCAAGCGCAAGGTCCTGAGTTCAATCCCCGGTATTAAAAAAAAGAAAAGAAAAAAGAAAAATGTGGGTTTCCCAGGCCCAGGCTACCCAAGTGCAAGGACAACCAAAGCAGACTGCTTTGGGAGGGGAAACCAGGAAACACCTGACTGTGCATGAATAAGGGACTGGTTAAATCCCATGGTACAACATCGAGGCTCAAGACAGCCCATCGCATATGGAACAGGCCTCCCTGTCAGGCTTAAAATGCGTCCACCAGCAATTCTCCAAGTGGGGCATGTGGTCCCCAAGAGCCTTGCAGTGGGTCCACGACATCGAACTATTTTCATAAGAACATTTAGATGCTGACATTCACTCAATGGTGTATAAAGCTGCTGGAGCCCAGGCAGGGGTCCCGGCAGGTCCTAGTGGTCCTGAGTCTGTCCCCAGCAGGCACTCCAGGGAAAACCACCTATAATCCCTGCACTCTGGGAGGCTGAAGCAGGAGGTTTGCAAGGGTGAGCCCAGTCTGAGCAACTTAGTGACTTAATAAGAGCCTGTCTCAAAAAAAAAAAAAAATTTTTTTTTTTAAAGGGCTGGGGATTTAGCTTAGTGTAAAGGCCCTGGGTTCAATCCCTAGTACAGCGAACAGAACAAAAGCAATACACTATTTTCACTCAGAACACCCTGGATGATGTAGCATGATTTTAAATTCCATTAAATCTGGACCTTTGAATACAGACTTTTTAATATTCAGTGTACCAAAAAAAAAAATCAATTATTAAAAAGGACTGGGAATTTAGCTCAGTGGTTCCACTGCCTGCCTTGCAAGCACAAGGTCCTGAGTTTGATCCCTGGTAACCCCCCCAAAAAAAATCAATTAATATTCAGTGTGGCCAAGAGGGAAATACACACACGGCACCTCTGTCTGTACCATTTGTACTTTTAGGATGACTGACAAACTAAAATTTTGGCCTTGGATACTGGACAGACATTTTCTTGAAAATGTATAAAGTGGGCTTATCGTTTCCAGGAAAATGCCAGAAATGATTTGTTGCCAATGGTAAATGTTTAAGGTTTCAAAAAAAATCTGAAGTTTCAAATGAAAAGTTAATTTTTAGGGCCTGGGGATTTAGCTCAGTGGCGCCCTCGCCTGCCTCTCAATTGCAAGGTCCTGAGTTTGATCCCTAGTACAAAAAAAAAAAAGAAAAAAAAAAGTTAATTTTTAAAAAACTTTTGAATTAAAAAAACATTTTTGAGTTAGCATCTCACTATGTAGCTCAGGCTAGCCTTGAACTCAAGGTGATTCTCCTGCCTCAGCCTCTCCAGGGATGGGATTATAGGTGTGTGCCACTGCACCCATTCGAAAGTTAATATTTGAAACACCTGTATTAGTTATCACAACTCTAACCAATTCCCAGTGCTTACAGACCTTTTTCACATGGTTGTGGTGGCACATACCTGTGATTCTAGCTACTTCGGAAGCTGAGGCAGGAGGATTGCAAGTTTGAGCCTCACCTGGACATTTTAGTGAGACACTGTCTTAAAATTTTTAAAAATTAAAATATTTAAAGGTCTTGGGATATAGATCAGTGATACAGCACTCATGGATTTAATCCCCAGTACCATTTAAAAAAAAGTGTTTTTTTTGGTACCGGCGATTGAACTCGGTACCTTGTGAGGCAGGTGCAGTGCCACTGAGCTAAATCCCTGGCCCAAAGACTTTTTTAGGGCTAGGGGTGTAACTTAGTGGTAGATTGCTTGCCCTTGGGCTCAACTCTCAGCTGATATATGACATAAGTTTTCAAAAAGTAAAACAATGTCTTTTCATTAAATTTTGTTTAGGAAATATTTTTCATAAAAGTCAATGTAATCCACATAAACAAAAAAAGCTTTATGGGGTTCTTTTTTGTTTGTTTAGAGACAGGGTCTCACTATATAGTTCAGGCTGGCCTCGAACTCACAGTAATCCTCCTGCTTCAGGCTCAAAAGTGCTAGGGTTACAGGCGTGAGCTATCATTCCTGGCTCAATTTTTTAAGGATATAGAAGGGCAGACCAAAAAGTCTGAAACTAACAGCACAATGTAATGAAATATTTGGCATTTCCATTATTTTTCTGGTGCAGAGAGGAAGGAAGACAGAAATAACATTTTCTCCAAGAACACAGACAATCACCCTGTCTCCTCTAGTGTCAAGGAATGCCCCAAAAGAACATAAAAATATTAATATTGAGAAATGCAGGGCCGTGGATTTACCTTAGTGGTTCTGCTGCCTGCCTTGCAAAGGTCCCAATTTTGATCCCCAGTACCATTAGAAAAAAAAAGGGAGGGAGAAATGTGCTAGGTGATTCTAGCTACTTGGGAAGCTGAGGCAGGAGGACTGCTTACGCCTGAGTTCAAGAACAGCTATGCAACTTAGTGAGAACTCATCTCAAAAAACAAAACAAAAAATACTGAGAAACTTGAGACATCATATTTACATTTAAATAATCATGGATACAAGTAAAGGAAAAAAAGTTTTTTTGAGGTAAAGTCTCACTCTGTAGCTAAAGCTGATTTCAAATTCATAGGCCCAGGCAATCCTCAGACTCTAGAGGAGCCGGGATTACAGGTGTGTACCACTGCCCCCAGCAGAAGGCAAAATTTAAGTAAGAAATTTTAAATTAAAATTTAAAAAAACCAGAGAAATTTTCAGTATTGTTGTCCACAAGGGGGAGCCAGAGGCAAAGAGAAGTTGCTTCACTTTTCAATAAGATTTGCAAAGTGAGGCCTAGTCTTGGGCTGACTACAACTGACTTACCTGATATTAAAAAGCAAAACAAAACAAAAAAAAAACCCCAGGGGGCCAGGGATTTAGCTCAGTGGTGCTGCCGCCTGCCCCACAAGCACAAGGTTCCAAGTTCAATCCCCGGTACCAAAAAAAAAAAAAAAAAAAAAAAAAACCCAACAAACAAACAAAAAACCTCAGGTATCACTCCAGACCACTCTGACTTACAAAGGTGAAGCAAGCACTCTGTACCCTACTGAGCTCCATCTCTGGCCCAGGTGACTGTGGTTTCTGAAAATATTCTGCAGGGGATGCTGAGCCCAATGACATTTCAGGGCTGGCATTGTCAGGACCCATCCAGAACCTTTCCCAGGCCTCTGTGGGAGACCTGTCCCTGAGGAGGCAGCGCTCCTGTTCCTGAGAAGTCAGGGGACCCCAGTCCTTGGGGAGGCCTCCTCTCAGCCTAGGCCTGTCCAGAAGTTCTCACACTGGATTGTCACCATTGCCCCAGAACAGCTCCTTCTAGCGTATTCTGCAGACAATGAAAAGAAGGCTCTGAATGCCGAGGCCAACAGAGCTGGCACATGGGGTCAGGTACACTGAGCAGCAGAAGCCTGGCTCACTCTGCCAACAGGCTGGGTCCTGGGGATGTAGACTCAGGCCTGTAGCAGCCCCAGGCTGGGACTCACGTTGGCTTCTGGTTTCATCTGAAAAGTGGGTTAACCACAGTCTCCACTCCTCAGAAGGCTCTCATGACTGGATGTCCCTGTGTGTGGGGAGCAGCACACTTTTGGTGGGGCCTGGGGACTCACTGATCTCTGTTGGGGGCTTTCCTGAGCTGGTCGGCGGTGACCCTCCACGAGAAGTTGAAAAACCGCATGGCGTTCTCAAAGTAGAGGTCTGGAACTGCGGTATACTGGAAAAAGAGAAATAGAGACACGGGTCGGAGCATGTCTGGGCAGGGTGCACTTCCTAGCACTGAGGAAACAGATGCCACGGGTCTGCAGGCCAGAGGCAGGGGGGCGGGAGGGTCCTCAGCGCTGCTGGCTGGGACCCCTCCCTCAGCCTTCACCCTGCTGGGGTTGTCATTCCCTCATCCCTTCAAGGACGTAGTGTCCAACAGTGTCACTGGGACACCTGGCAGCAGCCACTGGGCCTTAGGCAAGAACCGGAAGTATCTCAGTGCTGTCCAACAGAATCAGGATAGACCCATTCCATACCCGCACTGGCTAATATTTTGAATATTCTTAGGTTTTAAATGTAACCACGATGAGAGGTTATTATAATTTTAGAAATGCCTGAATTCACACATTTCAATCATGAGAAGACACCAAACTTTATCATTTGGGGCAAAACCACAATCCATTTAAATTCTAACCAGCAGCAATTATGCTCGTTGCCTAAATTAAGCTTAAAAATGCACTTGGGATTTATTCTTTCTCTTTCCTGCTGGTATTCAAAGTAAAAATCAGAGGCCCAAGTTTTGTCTGAGGGTTGGCAAAGGACCCGAGAGACAGGAGGCACCTCTGGGGCGGGAGCAGGCCGTGTGAGGGCCTACGCCTTCTCCTGCACTGTGAAGTACTAGGGCCGTTCACTCTTCCTGCACCTTGTAGGATCTGTAGCCGCCTTTCTCCTCCTCTCCTTTTCTTTTTCCTTTCCCTTCCCTTTCCTCCCTCCCCTTCCGCTCCCTTCTTTCCCCCTCCTTCCCACTGTCTTCCCCTTTCTTTCTCGTAGTGCTAGGGATGGAACCCATCCCTAGGGATGCTAAACTTGCACTGAGCTTCGCCTCTGGCCCGCCCTCCATTAATCTCCACCCATTCAGGGGGCTGGCCGTGTCCAGTTGCTCCACCGCATGGGCTCTGCATGGGCACTGCCGCGTTGCCCAGTGCAGTTCCCGGGACTTCCAGCCCCAGCCCCTCCTTCCCCTTTCCCAAGTAGGCATCTGGGATGCGAAGGGGAAGGTAGAAGCCACTCACATCATTGAATACTTTGTCCAGCTCCTTGGGGTCCATGATGAAGCTGGGGTAGCCTATCATGTTGTAGATGGCATCTGCCTAGACGGGGGCGGGGGACACACACGAGGGAGGATGTGAGCACCCAGGGATGCGGGGTGGGGTGGGCAGAGCTACAGCTCCAGGCTCGGGGTCAGGCCAGGGAGACAGGAGAGGTGGGAGGCACAGAGGGGAAGGGGGACAGCACCCTCCTGAAGGGATTCTGCCCTCACCTAACCCCCGCCTACGCGGTATCTTATTAAAGGTCACTTCCCCAAGAGAAGCTGCTATGATTTGATGTGTCCCCAGTGTGTCGGACACTTCGTGTGGAGAGGAGGGGCCTCGAAAAGGGCGCTGGGCCCAGAGGGCTCTGCTCTGCGGGGCAGTTGTCACAGGAGGGGGCTCCTGAGGGATTAGTTCAGCCCCTTGCTCCCCTCCCGCTTCTCACGTGCACACCTCCCGCCATGACACGTTCACACCATCACTATGCAGCCTGGGACTTCAGGATGTCCCCTCCCCGCTAGACCTAGTTCACAAGGCAGGACGGCATCCCTGTGTCTCTTCCTCCTCTACACCTGCAGCTGCAGCCTCACCTTCTCCTTGGCCGATTTCCGGGTGTCCTCATCCATCCACTTCAGGGAGCTGAGGCTCTCTTCAAACGCCTTCTTGATCTCTAGGATTATCTCACTGGCCTGAGGGGACAACAAGGGCTGAGCACTGGCCTCGACCTAGTGGCGACCCCTGCCGACGACGCTGCGCCACAGGCTAAAACTCAGGTTTAGCTCGAGGCCTCAGAACACAAAGGGCAGCCATTGCCATGTTTCCGAACCAAGTCTTACGGGTCACCTCTTGCCAGACTGGGCTGGACTTCCATAAACAGTAATCAAATAACGGGGAAGCAGGAAAAGTCTCTGTTGTGGGACTTTTCAGAAGCCTTTCATGTGGTAAGGTGCAATGGGATTCCGGCCAACAACGTAGCTTCTCTTGGACCACAGAATTCCTTCTGGACAGAATGAGTTTTAGTATCTAAGCGCTCGATTCTGAGGAGCAGTTTCAGAAATGCCAAGCTCACACTGGGAAAAAATGGCAGCTCTGGAGGGTGCCCATGCTGCGGCCGAGACAGAAGGTGGAAGATTCCAGAGGTCAAGGCAGAGCCACACAGCAGTAAGAGCAGTAGGGCTCTGGCCAGCCGATGTCAGCCCAGATTCTTCCACAGCTGCTCATAGGCCAGTGGTGAACAGATTCAAGTCACAGTCTGCTAACTTCTGATTACAAGTAACATCTGAGCAATCCATACTCTCAGCAATAAAAACTAACAGAGCCACAACAGCTGCCACTTAGTAAATAGAACCGTATGCCTTGCCAAGTGCTCATTATATGTAGAATCTAACTTAACTTCCTTGCAAGAGGGACAGCCCCACCTCCGTGTCACCTGTGAGGTGAGAACAACGCTCAGGTCACCAGCAGGGCAGTGACAGGGCCAGTGACAGGCCAGGAGCTGAGGTCTTTCTCGGTGGTGCTTAGCCAGGATGATCCTTGGCCTGTCAGAGTGAGCCAGTTATCCGCAGAGCGAGAAAAAGGTCACCCTCTGGGCCAGAGCTGCTCCATCAACATCCTCTCACCGGGGCTTTCTTGGCCCTGGAGATAAGAGGGGGCTGTACCGGCACTGTGGGGTCACCGGGAAGGTCAAGTTAGGTAATATGGACAGTGGGCCTGGCGCTCAATGACAGGAGCCAGTAGGAAGGAGTACCTCAGGTCCTCCACACCTCGAGAAGACAGACCTCAGAGTTAAGGCTGACCCTGGGGTCTTGGCCTGGAGCAGACCAGATCGAGGGCCATCAGGTCCTTGGGGCCCCTGCAGGACTGATGTCACGGGCTGTGTCCACGCAGGAGCACTTACTATGTTCTTGCTGTCCTCTGCAAATGTCGCCTTGACAAACATGGGGCCCAGGGCAAAGCCCAAGTTGTTCTCCGTGTCACTCACGCAAAACTTCCAGCGGGGAAGGCAGGTCTGGAAAACACGAGGGAAAGGGTCGCTGGGTCCCCATCCTTTTCCCAACCTCTCTCTGTCTTGGAGGTAGCGGCTTTCCAGAACTTCAGGGAGACAGAGTTCCGACCCACTGCTACTGGGCCATCAAAACGCCTCTGGCAGGCAGGGCTCATGGGCCGCTGGACAGATGAGGAAACAGAAATTCGGCAAGGGTACTCACCGGTCTAGGGTCCCACTGCAGGGGAAGAGTGCTGTGCGGGGTGGGGGAGACCTCAGAAGGCCCAACTCCACAACTAGATGTCCCCCCAAAGTCTGAGGTGCTCACAGGTGGGGACTTGGGGAGGTGACTGGATCTCGGGAATGTGGTACTCACTGGTGGGTTAGGCCCACTGGTGCAGACTTGTGGGTGTCAGGCATTATAGCTCAGCAACAAGAAAGCAACTAAAACACCCTCTTTACCCCTGCCTTGTCCTGCCCTCTGCAGGACACTGGGCAGTTACCCGAGTGACAGGAAACTCCCCAGAAAGGCTTCCACGTGTCGGTTCTTCCTTGCTCTCACCCATGAGTCCACAGGACACTGCTGTGGGACCTGGAAATGAGTCTAAGGGTGCCTCTGGGGTACACACTGTGACATGTGCCACCCTTCCACAGACAGCATGAGCAGCCAGTGGTGGCCCTGCTCGGTAAGTCCTTCCTGCTGCAGGGACAGCTGATGCCCTCCCAGCCCCAGGGAGCAGGATGGCACCCTCCGGTGCTCAGGGCAGCTGGACTCTATCAGTTCTAAGGCGCAGACAACCCAGATGTCATCGGCAGACAGATGGATAAACACAGTGTGGTATTTTTATACACCAACATTTGACATAGCAGCAGAAAGGAATGAACTACTCACAGACACAACATGAGTAAATTTCACACACTTATGCTGAGCATGAGCAGCCAGGAACACAGCGGATGATTCTGTCTACACCCACCTACATCACATCCTAGGGGACAAGGGGACTGGTGGCAAGGGGGCACAAGAGAGCACGTTCCACTTGGAGGATGTTAGGTAAGCAGGTCACGCTCTCTATCTTGGGTAATGGCTACATGGGTAACTTCATCTGTCAAAACTCATTGTATATTTGCACAGTTCAATACAGTATATATGGTTAGTAAATTCAGTCTTATTGAAAAAATTTCTTCTGGACAAGAGAGAAGGAAGGTGGGCAGTGTAGCCGACTCTGTGTGCAGTTCCCCAAGTTCTTTCCAGCTCTCCCAACCGTATGTCCCTAAGCAGGCCTCCCCCTCTGCTCACGCCTGCCCTTCCACAGCTGGACACATCTGCACAGGATCTGGCCACACAGGTCATGGCTGAGGCTCCGTGGGGCTCCAGGCTGACCTGTGCATCTCATCTGCTGTCTTTGGGGCATCTGTGTCTAGACTCAATCATCACCCACGCATTCATTCTCTGGGCCGTTCCACTGTGCTATGATGGGGCCGGGTCTTGGCAAACTAAAGCCGAAGCAACTGTAGGCTTGTCCTTGAGAATTCCACAGGACTGAGAGGCAGACACACCACACCCATCACGGTGCAAACAGTACTGACAGCGAGGGTGTCAGTGTTACCGTAATGTGCTGGCCCCTTCCGGTGGGAAATTCCCAACAGTCATGCAGCTGGGCATTCTCGTCATCTTTTTTGCAGATAAAGAAACTGGGGTACAGATGGGTTAAATCACTTACCTGCAGGGGTTACTCAGGGAATAAGTGGCTATGAGAAAAATCCTCTGAAAGGAGTGTGTGTGTGTGTGTGTGTGTGTGTGTGTGTGTGTGTGTGTAAGCCATCATCTCAAGGTGACCGGAAGCCATCTCTGGGAAGATAAGGAGTGACCAGCCAGTCTTCTCTGCCTGGAACTTGCTGTATTTCCCTTTTTATCCTCCTTTTCATTGTAATACAGGGACCACTAAGCAAGGACAGGGGAGAGGGGTTCAGAGTGGAGGCCCCTCCTCTCTGCTGGAGCTGGCAGTTCATGAACAGATAGTGACTGATGATAAATAGCTAGGGCAGAGAGCTTTTGACCCTTGGGACAGACTTGACACTTGGAGAGTAACTTGGGCAGGGACTACTTCTCCCTTATACAGATGAGAAGACAGAGCCCTTGCTTCACTGCGGTGATTTGTCCAGGGCTGTGCGGTGAGAAGGCTTCACTCTAGAACCTCTGACCCCAAGTTCCATGGTGTTTCCCTACGCCAAGCTCTGTGCCCCCTGCAGTGAGCACTGTACTCTGCCACAGGACACAATGTGAGTTTTCCCAAACAGAGGCTGTTCACAAGGGTCTTGTGAGACGAGGTCAGGAACTATCCCAACTGCAGATGAGAAAACTAAGGCTCAGAGAGCTACAGAGACTCCCCAAGGACACACGCGGGCCGGCACCCGGTGCACAGTAGGTGCTCAGCAAGCGCATGGGAGGGAGTACCAGGCTCACCTTCTTGGTCCCGTACATGACCTCCATGAACTTCTCGTCGGCATCTTGAAAGCGCTGATCAAGGAAGGAGCTTGTTTTCCGCACCAGGTTCCAGATCATGTAGTTGTTCAGCAGGCTGGGGAGAGGGGACGAGAGATCCACTGACACCGAAACGCCCTGTGAGTCCCTTCCCTCGCTAGTCACTAGGGGTCTCCCAGGCTCTGATCCAGGCTGCCAGGGCGTGGCAGGTCGCTGCTCTCTAAGCAAGCCCAGGGAATGAAAGACCCCGAAGGGTGAAGACTGGGTCTTCCGCCATAGAGAGTCCCAGCTGGGATGCCACTCAGCGGGACGTAGAGCGCTTGCCTAGCAGGCTCAAGGCCCTGGGTTGTGTGCCCAGCACTGCACCCAACACAACACAAAATGACAACCCTTCGATGTCTAGTGCAGTCCCTTGCATAGCATCGGTGGTCAGTAAATGTTATTTCTGTGGACTGTGAGTCTGCTGCCTGGTGTGTGCTACAGCGCAGGGTGGGGAGGAGGCTCCTTTCCACAGCTAAGAGATGGCCGGTCCAGAGGGCCAGAGAGGCAGAGGGGGGCGCAGAGGAGGCAGGAAAGGAAGCTCTAGCCAGCTGGGTCAAAGTTTCTCCGAATGACAGCTCCCCCTGCCCCAGCCCAGGGCACAGGCAACCTAACTATGGCTGCTGCTGAGTTTGCAAAGAAATTACCTCAGCATGAAGATGCTCACTACAGCGAACGCCCAGCCCCAACTGAGACCAACCTTAATGTCTGACGCCAGGGCAGGAAAAGATTGTATGTACACCACAAAACAGATATGTGCAGAAGGACACAGGGAAAACGCTTGTGATAAAATCAAGGGAAAAGCAGACCACATACATCTAGCTACAATGCTGTGAGAAGAGAACGAACCACATGTTAGAAAGCACCTTCAACAGAAACATCCCATGTGATCCAGAGTAGTGTTCTGAGCAATTTAAAATTTTTTTCCCACTTTTCTGTGATGCTCAACATTTGTATAAGTCTTTAAAGTTTAACAAATATCATGCTGGGTGTGGTGGCACATGTCTGTAATCCCAGAGGCTGAGGCAGGAGAATCTTCAAGTTCAAAGCCAACCTGGGCTACATAGTGAGTTCAAGGCCAGCCTGGCCTACACAATGAAACCGAGTCTGACAGTTTAAAAAAAGATAAAAAATATTAACTAAAAACAATAGCTACCATTTATGAGTGCCATTCTGACTCAGGCATGGTGTTAAAATCCTTTGTGTGAGGGGGGTTATTTCACTTAATCCTCACAGCAGCCCTAACAGTAGGTGCTATTTGCAGCCCCGTTTTATGGATGAGGAAATGGCCCTGAGAAAGAATAAGGAACTTGCCCAAGGCTGTAACACTGCTAGGAGAAGAGCCAGGACTTGAACTTGTGCCTGTAACCAAGATGCCCTTCTGCCCCTCATAAAAGCCCATCCAGAGCCCACTTCCCAGGTTCAGTTTGTCACCCGCTGTTCCCGCCCGCCCCAGGCCTCCGGGTCCCTTTACCACTTGTCGGTGTTGTTGATGAGGACGGAGACCTGTTCCAGGTACTCTTTGTCGTAGACCACGATGGGCTCAGACTCATTGATCTCCACGGGGTAGAAGATGGTATTGAGAAAGGGCAGCCAGTTGATTGCGGGCGCCAAGGTCTGAGAGGGAAAAAGACAGGTGACGCTGGCCGGGCTGCTGGCCCACAGTGCCCGGGCTTGGGGCACTCCTCAGAAGGGGGCGTCACTGTGCATTCTGCCCTCGGACAAGGAGAAAGAGCAGGGCGGAGGCCGGCAGAGGCTGCCCGAATGCCACGCATGCGAGATGCAGTGGTGCATGGCACCTGGCCCTGCTCACCAGACCCTCCTTGTGTGCCTCACAAGTTACAAAGAGGCTGAGCCTCAGGCAGGTCTCTCGCAGTCAAGGATCCCGAGCCAGGCTGCCTGGCTGGCAGCTCCCTCGCTTCCTGCTGTGCACCCTTGAGAAGGATTAATGAGCCCCTCTGTGCCTCAGCATCTCATCTAGAATGGGAGCCCTTTAGGAACAGAACCCACACACGGGGCAGTGGGTCACAGCAGCGAGCACCGTCTGTTCTACTTAATGTGGACTTCTGTAGCAGGGGGTACATCAGGAAGGAGAGCAGCACAAAGTATAAACTTTGCGGTCTGCACATGATGCTTCCCGGACCTGTGAGCTGGAAAACTGAAGTCAAAGAAAACCTGCAGCAAGAGGGAGAAGCCCACAGCTCAGCCCATGCATACATGGCAGGCCTGGGAGGTGTTTTAAAATGACTGAAGCTATGCTTTTTGGGAGGCTGAGGCAGGAGGATCACATGTTCAAGGCCAGCCTGGACAACTTAGTGAGATCTTATCTCAAATAAAATAAAAAAGGGGCTGGAATATATATAGTACTGCAGAAACAAAACAAAACTGAATCTCTGCTCTCACCCCCACCCCAGGTCCCCTGCAAACTAGCAGTCTATTTTCTGTCTCAATCTCTATAAATGTGAAAACACTGGGAAGCTCACACAAGTGAAGCCATACAGCATCTGTCCTTTGGTTGCTGGTTCATTTCATGTAGCAAACATCCTCAGGCAGAGGCTTAAAGCCTCCAGCCTCAGTTCCCCACGTTCTGTACATTCCCCCAGTCCTGTTATGTTTAGTGTGCAACTTTACAGAATGTGAGGTTTTCCAAGGCTACATATGCCGCATTTTGGCAAAGAGGCCTGAAAACATCCATCGCTTGGATGGGCACCTGTCCTTTAGCAAGCAATCTGTCAGTGTTAGCCATTACAGTCATGTGTTAGAGCGGCCCTGGGCCTGACCAACTTCAAACTGTGTCCTGTGATCCCTGAAAGAAGGCAAAATGTAAAAACAATACAGGACGTGAGAGAAGCATTTGAAACCTATGGGGAAAATAATGCAAAGTCAGTCTCTAACATCAGATCAACCCATGGCCTGTTGGGGAAACCCTGAGGCCTTAAGCCTCCCCACCCCCCATCAGAGGCTGAATCTGCAGACAAGGAAAGGTGAATTTCTCCAGGCCATGGTTAACTGGACACTGTGGGTCTAAAACTCAGGGTTCTTTGTCTCTGGGTTCATTTTTCCGGTGGTCCAGAGGCTCGAAAACAGGGTCTTGCACATGCTGAGCATGTGCTCTGCCAGTCAGGCTACACCCCAGGCCACTCTTCCTGGGCTGGAAAGGGCACCTCAGCTATTGAGGTACAAAAGACAGGTGAGAGTGGCGGGGGAGGGGACAGCTCCCAGAGGCACTGGTGCTGGTGGAAGTCACAACCAGCTGAGTGGGGGCTGATCTGCATTATGGGGAGGTGAGTATTCCCCCCAGGCTGACTGCTAAGTACCTGCAGGGCTGGAGGTAGTGGGATCCCTGACTGCCCAGCAGCGACCTGAGCCTGAGCTGGGAGTGAGCAGGCCTGCATGGGGTCCCAGCAGGACGCAGCTCTGAGAGGTAGAGCCATGGTCTAATCTTTCTTTGCAGTGGGGACTCTAGAGTGGACTGCTCTTTGCCTCTCAGCCTGGCTCACCCGCTATCCCTGAGCTTCCTTTGTCCCTAGCAGGTCCTCTCTGCCTTCTTTCCAGCAGCGGTGACCCTCAGGCTGATCTTTCCTATCTCTGTGCTTGAGAGATCTTTAAAGGAGGCTCAACAATGAGAATCAGCTGGCTGCAAACAGAAATGTTTACAGAATGTCTCTGTGTACACAGTTCACAGAGCTGCATAAGCTGCAGGGAATGGGGGTGGCATGGTGAGAAACCCCTACGGGCTCTGAGATGAGTGTCAAATACCAGGATTTTCACACTTTCGATCTCTATTGCTATAGGGAACTCCTAACCTAAACACATGTCATCTCAGTGGAGAGGGCTGCTGTAATGTGACTAGGTCGCAGCTCAAATCTTCTGGGGCACATGGATGAGCTCTATGGTATTTTCCAAGGAGCACTGCTGGGCAGCAACCGACCCAAAGAAGCTTAGGAACGGCAGCGAAGAGGAGGGTGCTCTGGGGTTTCATCTTAGCAGGAGAAGCGGAGGCATCAGAGGGGTCCAACAGCCTTTGGAGTGGGAGGTCCTAGAAAGGAGCGGGCAGGTGCCCAGAGCACTGGAAGGACGTCTGATTCATGGCTCTGCATTCAGGATGTGCTGGGCATGGCCTGGGACCATTCTGCACCCCAGGATGGTGAGCCTAGAAACATACCGTGTAGCCTGGGTGTCTTTCTTTGATTCTCCCTGAGTATGAAAGGAAACCAAATCTTGGGCTACCAGAGAATGAGACATTCTCCATCCCAGAGTGCGATGATTAAATAATTTTGTTTTACTCCCCCACTTTAATTTTCTTGGTACCAGGGATCGAACTCAGGCCCTTGCGCTTGTGAGGCAGGCGGCGGAACCACTGAGCCAAAGCCCTGGCTTCTAATTAATTTTGAAGCTGGCCCACAACACCGATCATGAGGGGATGATGATGACCAGTGTTATGCTTCTATTGCCCGTGTCGGTTTACAAAGTACAACCCCACCCCTTGCCTCATCTTAACCTTCTGTTGCCCTGTGAGCAGGCTAGGACAGGCAGAGATTTTTTGTTTTTCAGTAGTGAAGATTGGGGGCCTTTGCACTGAACTACATCTTTAACCCTTTCCAAAAAATTTTTTTAAAACTTTGAGACAAGAGTCTGGCTGGGCCTGAATTACTTGCTGTCCTCTTAACTTAGCCTTCTGGAGTGATGGGATCACAGGCCTGTACCACTGTGCCTGGGCGGTTTTTCGTTGTTGTTGCTTTTTTTTTTTTTGGTGGTACTGGGGATTGATCCCAAGGCCTGTGCACTGAGCTACATTCCAAGCCCTTAAAAAAGAAAAAGAAAAAAAAAAAAATTCACTGAGCTACATTCCAAGCCCTTAAAAAAGAAAAAGAAAAAAAAAAAACACTTAAACAAAATTCTTGAGACAGGCTGGGGATTTAGCTCAGTGGTTCCACCACCTGCCTTGAAAGCACAAGGTCCCGAGTTCAATTGCAGGTACGAAAAAAAAAAAAAAGAAGTTGAGACAAGGTCTCACAAAGACACTTAAGTTTCCCAGGCTGGGCTCAAACTTGCAATCCTCCTGCCTCAGCCTCCCAGACTAATGGGATTACAGGCGTGCAATACCAGGCGTGGCTGGTAAGCCAAGATTCTTATGCCAGGCTTCAGGGAGCCATGACTTCTTTACATGTTGGACATATATATATTTTTTAATGCACATAAATCTACTTTCCCTGGGGAACATACCCGAGTTTTCCAGCTCTCCAAGACCCTGTGACTTATAGTGAAGAACTGCTGTCCCCTGGGAGGGCAGTTATGTCTCACAGGCTCCGTGTTCTGACACACAGCAGGTGTGAGTGAACGAGCAAAGGCCAATTTTATCACGAAGGCCAAGGCTCGAAGGGGTGAATCATGTGACCTGCCCAAGGTCACACAGTGAGATGCACAGAGGCCAGAGCAGTCTTCTGACTCTGCGCTCAGGCTGGCACCCTGCAGGCTGCTGCCCCTGCTGAGTTCCCCAGCAGCAGTGCGGTGCGGAGAGAGGCACAGCGTTTCCTTTCTTCCAGGAAAGTGGAGCACAGAAGCAATGGGGAATGGGCCCTGCGGCCAGAGCCTGGTGGCCGCAGGGGGCTCTGTGCTCTGCTACTGCGCCACCTTCACCCCTCTGGGCATGAACTCCAGCATCACGGCCACTGGGAGGCCAGGGAGATCTCTCACTCTGAGATCCGCGCAGCTGCAGCAAACTAAATTACGCTGCACAAATAGCATCTCCCTCAACCTTGTGGCCTCAGGGCGGAAAAACAGTGCCAGATGGTACCCGATAGTGGCTACAGATCTCCATAACAACCCGCTTGGCCTTGGCACCCTGGTTCCCTGAGGACCTGCAGGGCAGCTGGCACCAGCAGGAAGACAGGCTCGCTGGTCTCATTCTAGGCCTCTGGGCACTGTGTCTCCTCCTGGGACACCTTCGGCTGACATGCACTTGTCATTGCCCCTCTAGCTCTCACCCCTTCTGGCCCCAGGGCCCTGCTGCTTTTGCCCAAAGCACTTGCAGGGAGACTGAGATTGTTTCCTACTTTCCCTTACTAGCCTCTGGCTCTGATATCTGTCAAATGGAGGAGGAGGAAAGGGTAGGACCTGGTGCTCTTCCTGGGCAGTGCAGAAGGGAGAGAAGCAAGACAGTCAGCAGAGCCACAGCCCAGGAAGGGCGTCCTTCCTCCCTAGCCAAGCATTCTTCCTGATGACAGAAACAGGTGCCAGAAGAGACCACCCTGCTGATGGCCCTGAGAACCCTGGGGCTGGACAGTGGCATGAGATAACACAGGGAAGAAAACACAGGCGGTCACCTCGGGCCCCTCAAGGCCCAAGCAGCCACCAGGGGGCAGCTTCGCTTGTCCACCCTTGCAGAGGCGCAGGTCTGCCTCCCTCCCTTCCACCTCTGGGCTGTCCACGGGACAGGTTTGCTAAGCCAAGCCTGCGTTCTAAGGCAGCTCCTCTCCTCCGCCACTCGGTGCCTGGACCCTGACCATGTCACTTAGCCTCCTGGCCCAGAGAAGGCAGAGGCGGAGATGGCCCACAGCCCACGTTTGTTTAGCTCTGAGCCTGACCAGGCAGGCGCTCCCCGAGGGAGTGATCACTGTCACGACCACGGAGACTCCAGGCAAACGCCTCGTGTGGGGAAGGAGTCTGGCTAGTCCCGACTCCAGCAGGTGACCTGACTGCCCTGAGACTCAGTGTGGCATCTGTGCTGTGGGCATAACAACCCTTCCCTCACAGGCGGCTTCACAGATCCGATGAGCGGGCAAAGCCCCCCACCCCCACCCGTGCAGGGCCCGTTTGAAGCCTCTGCGGCAGCAGGGCTCAAGGTACCTGCAGCTCAGCAGCCGTTACTTTGTGGTAGATGAGCTCCTCGTCCCGGCGCTTCTCCTGCGGGATGGTGATGTTGGCCAGCGCCGTCTCAAAGTCCAGGATCTGCTGCATCTGGGGCCGGATGGCGTCCTCATCCCCCCCGCCCAGCAGCTTCCCCAGCTGCACCATGTAGTTCAGGTATCCGGTCAGCACCTGTGGGACCCAGCACCCCTGGTTGGTCTGTGGCTGCTACTTGCTGCCCACTGGGCCGGGGGCTGCACTTCACCCAGGGAACCTGCTGGTCCCCGGGTGGGCCAGTCACTGGCATCTTTCAGTGCTCGCTCTAGGCCAGCTTTCTGTCCTTGGGATGCACCTTTGCTAAACTGCTCAGACCACACCCTCAGACCTTTCCTGCTCACAGCGGTGGTTGTATATCTAGTGGTGGCCAGCTAAGCAGTGTCCATCTTCCCTACTGGATCTCAAGCTCCAGGGGAAAGGACCAGGCTGGTCTCCTCACCACCGCCTGCCTAGCACCAGGCACTCAGGGGGGACTTGCTCAGTACAAGGGGCTGGAGTAGAGTGGACAGGTGAGCCAGCCTTGGGCAGGGGCTCCTGGGGCGTCGCGAGGGGCAGCCTGAGTGGAAGGGAGGTTGTGAATCTGGACAAGAATGCCAGTCTCACCACTTCCAGGCTGTGTGACCTTGAACAGGTCACCCAGCATCTCTGAGCCTTATTTCCTCCTCTGTGAAAGTCGAGGTAAAAGTAGTACCCTTATGACAGGCGGGGCAATAAAGTTCTGAGACGTCCAGCAGCTACAGTGTTACTGGGAGGACTTGAGGTGTCCTACACAAAGGTGTAGCACCTACAAGTGGTGGCAGCTCGCTCTAGCATGGGACAGTGACACCTATCCCCTCTCTCTGTGCCCATGAGGCCTGGATTGACCCAGCCAGCCGGTGGTAGGCAGCCTCTCCTACCTGGGACCGCCTGTCACTCCTCAGGAAGGGACTTTAGTGCTCCCTGAAGTGTGCTGGGGTGGACCCCTGAGGAGACCACGGCGGGGCAGGCTGCTGGGGCCCGAGCCACCCCTCTCGGAGCACACTCACCTTCTCGTTTTCGGTTTTGTTCAGGTAATAGTCTCTGGAGGGCAAGCCCAGGCCAGACTGGTCCACCTGGGGAAGAAGACCCAAGTAAGGGGGAGTCTCCTGCATGTCGCCATGTGGGTGCCCACTGTGTGCCCTCTGCCTGCCCGGGAAGCATGTGGTCCGTGGCACCAGAGGACCAGCTCAGGAGCCAGCAGAACAAGCTGGTAGCTGAAGTCAACGATGAGCCACCCAGGAAAGGGACAGACAGTGAAATAATACCTCACCCTCAGAGCTGAACTGAAGATTCAAGGAGACAGTGCTGATAAAGGACTCCTGGAATGCTGGGCAGGTAAGGGAGGGTTAATTCCCGATAGCTACTGTTGGAGCCTTTTGTCCTCACCTTGAAATATCTCGGTGCTATTACAGTTCATTTGGTTGATAAGAAAATTGTAGCTCAGAGAAGTTGAGCTACTTGCCTAATACCACACAGCAAGTGACTGACAAAGATGGACTGGGAACTCAGCCTTTCTGACTGCAGTTCAGAAGAGCCCCTCTTTGTGCTGATCCGCAGGCTGGGGTAGGCCCTGCCAGGGAGACATGGATTCAACAACTTGTGTGTGTGTGACAAGGATTCTGTGGCCTTCTCACTGAGCTACACCCTCGGCCCTTTTTTTACCTTTTATTTTTAATCAGGATCTCACAGAAGTTGCTAAATTGCTCAGGCTGGGCTTGAATTTGCTATTCTCCTGCCTCAGCTTCCTTGACTGCTGGGATTACAAGCGTGCTCCACCTCGCCCAGCTTCAGTATTATTCTAAACAGAGCCACGATGGCCAAAGGCTGAAGTGGGGAGCTGGGGTGGCTTCCGCTGTGTCAGGGAACTGGTGTCTCACATCACTTCTGGGGCCTGCAAAGACGTCAAGGCTGGGGGCTGCCAGAAGCCAGGCTCAGGGATCAGAACCCGTGCTGCCCCCAGGGCCACCACCACCCCAGCCGGTGCTCGCTGAACCTGAGAAGAAAGAGGTCGTGCCCTGTCCTCCCCAGGTTCAGGCCCCTCACCTGGATCACGTTGCTGTTGGAGTTCTTGGAGTCAGCGCTGACATAGACGGAGAAGAAGGGTGAGGTGCGATAGTGGGCAGTGACCACCTGCAGGGTGTCCTGGAAGTTGTCCTTGGCCCAGGGACCTGTGATGTTCCAGCCTCCGAGCTGCAGGGAGGCAGAGCAGGCAGGGAGGGGATGAGGAGGCTGGGAGACCGGTATGCAGATTCAAGCTCTGTAGTCACCTCGTGCTGGGACCCTGGAGCAGCCGTCTGGCTTCTTAGAGTGTCCAGCGCGAGGGACAGAGACGGTCCTCACCGGGGTTTCCGGCCTGATCTGGAGCCTCATGGATTGAGGTCATAAGTCTGTGGCACTGCTCTTGGTGTGGCTGGGAAGGGGCCAGGAAGAGACTTTGCCCCTTATACTGTTTACTTTTTGAACACTGAATCATGCGGATGTAATTACTATTCAGACACAAATTCAACTGTGCTTATAAGGGGAAAAGGCTCCATATTTTGAAAAAGGTTCAACTATGGTCATCTTTAGTCCTTCTCAAAGTTGGGGCTTTTCTTTGTAACCTCTTTAATCCTCCCTGGCTTGGCACACACAGGTACAAGAGGCCTGTACCGGACGGGATGGACTGAGACAGTCCCAGTGCCTGTGGCCACCAATTGTACATCAAGGCCTTCCAGTGGACAAGCTAGGAGGCAGGGCCCTCGAGGGAGCATGGGGACCCAGAAAACTCGCTCAGACATCTCTGTCCCACACCCCGAGCAGGCTGGCCGGCCGTAGGCAGCTCTCCTCAGGTCTGCCCAGGCCTGACGGGGATGCACCCAGAAGAAGGAGTCATTCCGCTGCCCATGTGTGAGGAGAGGCCTCGAGTGACAGGGCCCTCCTCACCGAGACTTGGACCGAGACTCTGTTGGGCTCTCTGGAGCAACACACACCGCTCCGCACACATGGACACGCCCCTTGGTGTGTGAAGGAGGAAGCAGTACCGGACAGAAGTATTTCCGGAACGCGGTCCCTGTGCCCAACACAGATGCCCCAAGAGACACACGGTGTCAGCCATCCCCATCAAATGCTGACACCCGGCCCCACAGGCACACACAGACAGTGCCAGCCACACAGATGTACACTCGCCAGGGCAGCCCAACATGCGCGGCAGACAGACAGGCGCCTCGTTTTGGCAGGAGTGGCGGCTGGAAGTGTGGGGTGGCCAAGCCCCCGGGGTGCCCGAGAACTGGGACAGAGCCAGAGGGGCCAGGCAGGAGGAGCTGCCAAGCCTGCCCCAGGGACCCACCTTCTCAATCAGCTCCATCAGGGGCTTGGCCCTGAGCTCCTCGATCCTGGTTTCATTCATACATGCTCGGTAGTACACTTGGGCCTTTCTCTCTGCCTCACTCACGCTGGCGGTGGAATTTTCTAGAATGATAAGTGACAGCAGAATATATAGCTCAGTGGTAGAACACTTGCCAAGTATGTGCGAGGCCCCGGGTTCAATCTATAGTGCTG